CAAAAAAAAAAAAAAAAAAAATACCAAATATTTTTTCTTTTTCTTCGACTCCACATACTCTCCTATACTCTATTATAGAATCTGCTATAAGATAACATATTTAGACATTCCATATCAACGACGTCAGGCAGAACATATTATAACTAGGAGACTGTTTTTTACATCAACATAAAAAGGAGCACAGCACAAATTCACCGAGGGTGGAAGTGGTAGAGGGGGCTGCGCAAGCAGAAAAGCGAGCGTAAGCGAGCATTTGATGCTTGTAATAATAATAATCTTCATGAAGATATTTTCTCATATTCAATTCTCTCAATATTTCATTAAGAAAATTGATGTATAATATCACACTTCTATCAACTTTCACTCAATCAATCCGAATCACTGAAGAGAGTGATGATTAGACTTTCTTCTCTTTACTCTCCTCCTCTTCTCATAATGAGCTTGGGATCTGTAAACTCCCCGTTTCTATTTTCTCCTCGTATCACTCAGGGAGAGGGGATTGCTATTTACGAAAACGCGTGAACCTAGTATATGTCTGAGTAATAAGAAGTTCCACTCCGCCTCCATCAGTAAGGGGCCCATTTAAGCAAGGGTCATAAACCTATTGCCAATTTATAAAATCTGGGGAAACATAACTTGGCTGGGGATACATCTGGAAAGGCGGGTAGAACAGCATGCTCAAGAGTGAGTGATTGAGCAGCACATTCTGTGAATCCTCTTCTTCCCTCCTTTTGCAATACCTTGATAGTTCCAATGTTGTTGAAACTTGAGTGACTGTTTTGAGAATGTTTGCAGGTACGGTAGGTTGAGGGTGAGCCAGGACCGTACATGGGAGTGAGAAATTTCCTTGGCCCTCGAACGAGCAATCTTTATTCAACGAAAAAACATATTGCAATTTTACACATACCTGCATGCTGAAGGTGAACACAAGGGAGCAAGCAGCTCTTTAGGTCACCGAATAACGATGATCCTCCTCCAGGTAATCCGCTGCATACATGTAATGTACTCGGAATTGCATATCAATGCATATCCGCGGCGGTATGATGCGTCATTCACACTTGTATAAGAGCGCTTGAAGATACGTAGCTTGCATCGAAGTATTTTCTCGGGCAGATACAGACATCTATTCGACGTCTTAGATGATTGGAACCGGCTCACCTACACGGAGCATACCGAGGGTTCTATGGAATGCTTGGAAGTGTCCCCCGTCTGCACAGTGATGTCATTAATAATGATTCATGCATGCACGGTATATCACTCGTCTCACAGTACTCCGTAGACTTATTCTATCTACATGCAGGGGCTACCCGGTAAACAGGATACCCCACACAACCATGAGTAGATTGACTCGATATATCGATTTCATGCTTTCTCAGATTTACCCTGTTCCCTAAATTGATGATGATGATGATGATGATGACGATTATTATTATTATTATTATTATGAAATCTCCACATAGTGTACAGTCACCATGCACGGGATCATGCACTGGATCATGCACCGGGACAGAAAATTTCGAACATCGAACAAACATGCGGCCAGGAGTAAGATAGGGCGACGATCGATTAATGACGCTAAAGAAAAGGCTGGGAAAGGGCGATATGGTCGTTCCAATGGTCAGCTGGGTTAACTTAGTGCAAGAGACTCGGGATGGGAGGGTCTGTGTGTCCACCATTTAGGCGCAATGAAAAGTAGGAAACTGGTTCAAAATCACTCATTTCATTTCCTCCTGTCGTGAGTAGATTTTTACGAGTTCTCGTTTTTGCCATTTTTTCCCTTTCTTTTTATTTTTAATGTTGGATTGAACAGGATCTCCTTGAGTGTTTTTCTTTCCACTGCTCCTTTCGTTCTTCGATTCCTCCTCACATTTGAGATGGGACAAAAAAAGAAACATCGCAGATGAACAGAGGCTGACACCAGGAGAAAAACAAAACAGAAAATGTGGGCGCCTATCCTTTATCCCGGGTCTGCGCGACTGCACTAGTGGCTGTTCGAACTTGACGTTGGCTTCCAAATTGGTTAACTTTCTTGGATATCGCTGAGGGAGAAGGCGTCGGGAGGGGGCCTCAGGGACCACCAATCTCGAAGTCTATTTGGCTATAGACAGGGTGGAGGGGTCGCCAAGCCGAAACCGCATAACTATAGTATGGTAGTGAAAATGGCCATTGGCCACAAGAAGACTTTCGATACATCTCATATGGCTTAAACCGATTTGAGCAACGAATCTAGCCCCGGCACTCCGAGTAAATGAGGGCATAAACCTCCGCACCACGTTTTCCTCGGGGAATTGGACGGGGCTTCTGTGAAGAGAGATTGGTTCAATTCGAAATTCAAGCAGTCGACTCCGTATACTTGAAGGAGAAGGATTCCGTGCCAAACCAGCGTGGCTTTTTCAAATGGCGCCAACATCCAGGATACCGGTTTCTTTGGCGTAGAAGTGGTGCTCTTCTATGGCGATCATATAGGGTAATTCATGGTATGATAGCATTGATAGCCTCGATAGACAGGGAAATAATTTCTTTTTTTGAGACACTTGCAGCTATCACAATGGTGAATCAATCCAACAACCAGGGTTTGATAATTGATCATAGTGTAGGGGATAAAGTTTAGCCGCAACTATGGGCAAAACGAGATTTTTTGCATTTAGGATATCGTGGAGGGGAAGGGGGACGAGGGGGAGGGTGGGAGCTTTACTATCTCGTCTTTGAAGGACTTAGAGTACTGTTCATGTCCCTAAGCAGCGATCGAAGTAGAATAGCAAAAATGAGGAGTCGAATGACTCTACCCGTATCAGGATCAACAATCACAACCTTAGGCTATGCATGGTGGGGGCCACTGGCAGTCTCAATCAAACTTCATAAAAATCATACCGCTAAAAACTCCCTGAAAGAATGGAAACGCTTATACGAATATAAGGAAAATAGCGAATAGAGTCTGTTCAAGATATGCATCATTGCTGTGAATTGCAAACCCAGCCGATGCTGTGTTGGTTGACGTTGGCCGATGAATTAAAAAAAGAGCAGTCAGTTTGAGGATAGTTTGTCCGCGCCCAGACCCGCCAGCAACCGACGACAACAACAATATCATCATCGATGCTCGAACAAACCCCCAATCTAGCCCTTTCACGATCAGGAACCAGACACCACAACAACAACACCTTGCTTGTTCTTTTTGATTTTTTATCATCAAACTCTAAGAAGTTAATTACATACCATCACATCCCGTATTTTCATGATGTTCGCAACCAGGTGTTTCGCTGCCACTGCAATTCCCCGCGCCAGCACCCCCGTTGCGCTCTTCCACAGCACACGGCCAACCTTCGTCAAGGTTGGGGATGCAGTGCCGGACCTCGAAGTGTTGACCGAGAATTCACCCGGAAACAAGGTCAATTTGGCAAAGGAGCTCCAGGGGAAAGGTTTGATTATCGGAACTCCCGGTGCATTTAGTAAGTACACCTCCTATTTGCTTCATTGGTTTGTTTCACACGCCATCTGGATATCTGATTCGGGATTGAAATTTCTGAAAATCTTTTTCATTTGATTGGAGATTAAAAACCCTACCTCCCTTTCCTCCACTAGTCTTCTACATTTCCCTCTCAACTGGAGTTTTGTCTAATGAATATATCGTATAGGCCCCGCATGTTCCGCCGCACATGTTCCCGGCTTCGCCAATCACCCGAACCTGAAGGATGCGGGTAAGGTGTTCGTGGTCTCCGTCAATGACGCATTTGTGTAAGCAGTCATATTCCCACAGCACTTCAACGTTGTGGACGGATTGGAAGCTATCTCTCCACAAACTTCCCCCTCGAACTCTCTTTACATTGATAACTAACGTTTGGCTGCTGTGTGATACAGAACGGGTGCATGGTCTAAGATGGTCGACCCAGAGCAGAAGAGCGGGGTATGTAACATGTTCCAAATCGCTGCATATGTGCCCTTTTTTACATGTTTTTTTTAAATCGTTTAACTATATCTGACTAGACGAACTCTACTGACATGTTGTAGATCCGATTCCTTGGAGATCCAAAGGGAGAATTCACAAAGGCCCTGGATCTAGACTTTGATGCAAGCGCTATTTTCGGGAACCTCAGGAGCAAGCGGTATGTTTTGGTGATTGAGGACGGGAAGGTTAAGAAGACTTTTATCGAACCGGATAACACTGGCCTTAATGGTAAGGAAAAAAGCAAAAAGCATATCTCAATCTTTCCCCGAATTTTTAAAAACAGAAGAAGTAGTATGCTAAGATCAAACTCTCGCCGTAGTGTCGAAAGCGGAGAATGTGTTGGGATAGAGAGGAGTGACAAGACTTTTGAACTTTTTATGACGGATTCCCGTTCTATTATCTAAGGAAATACGGGTGCATGTACCATAATGAAGAGTAGCGCTTATATATTTAAACAAAATACGCATTTCAATAACTAACCTAGAAAATGCAAATATTCTCCTCTCAATTTGCAAAGCTCCCGTCCGATCCCCCGCATGTCGGTCATGGTGGCAAGGAAAAATAATTCAAAACGCCGGAACCCATGTGTATCATAGTAAAACAAGAACATGAATAAAAACTAACGAGGAGGCGGACGGGGAGGGTAAATGGTTATCCCAAAGTAGTTCGCCCTTCCAATCTTCCATAGTACACCTGTGTCCGCATATGTGACACCAATCCTTGCTCGAGATGTGCATCCAGATATATATTTCTCTCTCTAAAATGAACCCCCGCCCGAACTAAGACTGCTGTTCCTTCAGTACGTTCTCCCACTGTTCCGGTGTGTAGCATTTGGGCGTCCAGGCATGGATAGCCGCAATTTCCGCCTTAAGCGCGGAATTGACGAGCCGGTGTCTTGCGAGCGTGGTTTTCTTATCGAATTGCGGGGAAACTATGATTGCTTGGAAAGCCTGGCCGCAGCCTCCTATATGTAGCGGAAAATCGCGGTTAGTTTCTTAGTATATATATATATATCCAGCCGGTGATTATTGTAGATGCGGTGAGAGAGCGGAAGGGAGAGGGAGGGTCAGAGAGGGGTTTTAGTTTTTGATTTAAAGAAGCTCTGATCGTACCAGACATATCTTCAATTTCCACATGCTGAGCGTCTAGCTTGGCGATCAGTGTGTCTTTGAGAGATGCTACAGTGACGCCCGATGTATTTGCCGTATCTGCCATGGCGGCGTTGACAGCGCTGTGGGCGCTTGCTGTGAAGTGGAACGGTCTCTGGTGACGGAGGATATGGAGGCAGCTTCTGCTAAATGCGGTCCGGCGGAGGAACATATATGATTGTAGGAAACGAAAGATTTAATCAGAAGTATTACAACAAAACAAGAAGGGAGAGGACAAAGGTAGGATGTAATTGGAGATAACTATGTCGATATATATTTCTTATTTTTTCATTCTTTGTTGCTACGAATTGTTGCCGACCAAATAATTCCTGCTCCGACTAACGTAATCAACCACCTAACGCTCGTTTCCACCTAATGCTCGCCTTTGTAAATCAATTACAATCAACTTCAAATATTCATATCTCAATGAATATTTATTTAAAACTATTTTAAAAAACAGAATGATAATTTGTAGATATATATTATATTATATTAAATTTCTATGAGAAAATAAAATATAATTATTAATTTATTAAGCTTTTTAAAATACTATTTAAAATAAAATACACAGTCTATATTTATAAATATATTTATAAATATAAATTATTTTCACATAAAAATTAAATATCTTATAGATTATATATATTTTTAATAAAATATAAAATTTTATCTTCAAATTCTTATTTATTATTGATTTATTTAAATTTTTATATAAAATTTTATATTTTAAAATACTATTTTTATAATAACTATGTCTTATTTATACTTTAAAATTGTAATTTAAATAAATTATTATATTAAATCATTTAAATATATTTATATTTAATAAATTATTTTTCAAAATTTAAAATTTCAAGAATTTTCAATATTTCACTTATAGTTTTGTGATTCAAAGATTGCTTAAGTCAGTGTATAATTACAGGCATATGCCGGCTTCTTATATTGTAATCTTGTACACTAAATTAATTAGCATACACTATGGCCTCTTTACACTCATACACGTACACTAGTAGTTTGAAAGCAGCTGTGATATTATCTGATGATCATACATTCTTCTGAATCACATTCTCTCTCATCAGATTCAGTCATGCTCACATGATCATATCATACATTCTAGCTTCATGCAGATTAGCTCACTACTAGTGTTTCACAATTATGTGACCTATTTCTAATTCAGCTAGCATTCTGTGTACACTCTCACAAAGAAACTTTCACTATATTATATCACTCATTCACTAACTTTTCTCATTCTTTAATCATCTTCTTCATCATCATCATTATCAAATGTTACTATCTCATTCAAGATTTCTATTCCTTCTTCTGTTCAACTCTTTTCATCTGTTCATCTATCACATCATACATGTTTCTGACAATGACTTCTCATTCTCATAATAAGCATCATTGTAGTGCTCATATCAGGCAGTTCATTAGCAGTAAGTGTAATGCATTGTGAAATATAATCAGAACTTATTTATCTTCTAACAATCATCAGAACAATGTATTATCATGAATAATGATATATCTTCTTATATACTCTTGATCATTTCTCTTCTCAGCAGGTTTCTGATTGTGTTTTCTGACACAATTTTGCATAAACATAGATGCTGATATGTTTGTTTTTATTCATATAGAATTATCACATATTGACAGATTCACATTCATCAATGATAGTGAATTCAATGTTGAATCATTGATCAAGAACTTGAAGAATGTAATAATAAAGAAATTGTTCATATCATGTGTGATCAGATCTCTCACATTTCTCTCTTCTCTCTCTATTTCTTTCTCTGCTGCTCTCTCTCAATCTTCTACACCTGTCTCTGTGTCTGATTCTCCCACTTCTGCTACCTCTGTTCCTGCAACCCTCACTTCTGCCACTTCTGATTTTACTGTCTCTGCTTTTGTTACCAGCTCTTTCTGATTTAAGAAGATGTTGTATAGACTTAATGAATCACATCTCTCAGTGTGTACACTTCTGTTCTTCTTACTGACTCTCAGAATGATTTATTGTATGAAGACTGTATATAACATAACTATCTGAAGCTCAGTTGCAGACACTGATTATTACATTTGTTTTAAATATTTATAATAAGATAATTATTCATTCATATCAGAGAATCACTCTCTTTCTTAACAGCATTGAGATTGTAAGTCTTTTTCTTTTCATCTTTTCAATCTGACACTGATTTTTCTGTTCTTAGAGAAAATTGTTATGAGTTTTACTGTGCATGAAGTCATGATATTCACAGATATCAAGAAGCTTTTTATAACTGTAAAGTTCAATATTATAAGAACATTCACTCTGACAAATTTCTTCAGAATGATAGATTTGTATTGATCTATTCTCTGATGTCTGTTATCTGACTTCATGATGCAGGCAAAAGATATCTGTGTTTTCAGAAACAGAAACACAGATGTTGTACTCTTTTACACTCATGAGTGTGAGGCTTGTATGCCTTGTCTGAAATGTCATCATGAGAATGAGCTGTTTGCATGCTGTGTTCTACTTTCTGCATTTCTCTGTATCTCTCTCTCTCTTTCTGAGAAGTCTCATGCATGTTGTAATTGTATATACAACTCTAAGATCAGCAGATGTTTATTCAGTAACTGTTCTCATCTCTGATTTTATAATTTTTATATGCTAACAATGATTCTTAGTTGCTTCAGTGTCAGAGATCATTCTTATCAAAGATGACAACACTGCTGAGACTACTCTCTTTCATTCTCAAGCTTCTCTCATTGCTTTCTCTCTCTCTTCTGTAAGAAAGATTGTGCACACACTGAGTTGTAAGTATTTGATTTCAGATGACTCTCATCATTGTTTGTTCAGTTCTGTGTCTTCTCCTTCTTCTGTTTCTTCTGTCTTCATTCTCTCTGCTCTGACTCCTAGTCCTGCGGGTTCTGCACTCTTCTTTAATTTCTCTATGTGTACACATGCACATTTCTATATTGATATTTCAGTCAATATTGTGATAAATGACATTAATGTTGTATACAGAGTGATAGAGAAATCAGAGACATGCACAGTGTTGTTACAAGAGTGACTTACAACTCTTGAATCTCTTACAGATCTCAAGTTTTGAGATTTTCTTTGTTTTTAGCATTTTTCAGATGACATGATGTTGGAAATAGATTAAACATGTGATGTATGAAAATGAATGAAGTGTGTATAATAATATTTGTCTTTTTATGACTAACTCTTACAGTTGATAATTAATTCATTATCTCTTTTCTTTTTCTTACACTTTTTCTTTATCTGCTAGTTACTACTCTTACACAACCTCTATATGATACAGCATTCAGTGACTAGATTTAGCAGCTTTCATCTTTGTGATTCTGTCTCACACATTATACTGTCTCTCTTCACTCACTCAGATCACTACAGTGAATAGCTCATTGAAACTAATCTCATTCAATCTCTGAGCATTCTCAGAGGTTGAGATGGCTTGGTTTCATGCATCTGTGAATGTTTCAGATAGTTCATCCTCTGTGATCTCTGCAATTGAACTGATGTAAACAGTCAAATTCAACTCTGAATTTCTTTTTCTTCTGTGATCTGATTCATATATAAGTCTGCTGCTCTGAGACTGTTCTTTACTGTGTTGCATCTGCTGTCTGCAGCATGTTATTGTATGACTGACTACAGTCTTATCACTTATTGAAGTGTGATGTTCACCTGATTTCTTCATTTCTTTTCATTCTTTTCTTATAATTGTGAAAAGATCAGAATAAGTGAGATCATCTGATTTATAAGTATCTATGATTTCTCTTACTTCATAAGACTTTTCAATTGTAAGTCTCTTCTTTTTCAACACTGATGATAGTGCTGTAGATGATTATAATCTGCTCAGGTCTTGCATCTTTGCTTTCACAAGTTATGAATTATTGATTAAGTTGTATAAGATCTGTTCCTCTGATTCTTTCAATGTGTACATTCTCAGAGAATGTGATTTGAGTATTTTATATAACTCAAATCACCTAGATTAAAACTTCTCAGAACTCTCATTGCATACAAGAACTCATGTTCTCATCTTAAGACTTGATTTCTTAACAAGTGAGTCTTGTATTCTTTTTGATTGAATTGCTCAGTTCAGGAGTAACTTGTTAGCTTTTGCATGTATGTGACTGATCTCTTTCAATCTTGATTCTGTGTTCATAACTGTTGCATCTGTAACTGCTGTTTCTGCTGTGTTTACAACTGCTTTCTTTCTCACCTTTTCTGAAGCATTCTTCAGAATGCGCGGATGCAATTCATACAACAGATAGAATGATGAATGCTTGAAGACTGCATACTGTTGAATTCATGTAGTCAATAGTGCCTGTCTGAGATATTCATCTTATAGTCTCATAGACTTGCTCACTAGATATTTCATC